TTCATTAAGTTTAGGCTCTAATTTGGGTACATATGGCTTATAAGTATATACTCAAATCAATTAATATGATCATATGCTATCTCAGTTTTAGTCTACACTAAACTCTCTTTCCCAAATTTGTTTAGGTTCCTAAATCAATTTAATTGGTGATCAGGCAATCAAAAGATTAAGAGCAAATTGGAATAAAAAATTCAAATCCCATTAAAGATAAGCAAGAAAGATATTAAAAATTTAGATTACATGTGAGTTCATTTGTAACCTTAGAAAAATAAAATTAGTTATTCATAATTGCAAAGATAAATAAAAAATATAAATTTCAACCATTGAGAATAACAAGAAAAAACAAGCTAAGGAAGAAAACAAAACAATTGATTGTAGCTTGTTTCTGAGTTTCTGCCTCAACTTTCAGCCTTTTGAATTGCAAAAGTTGTCTAACCTAATCTCTTTTAAGATATCCTATTTATACTAACAATCTTAACCTACAAGTCCCTAAGTTAACCTACTAATTCTAACTATTGTGCTGAACAGTGTAACGAAGCCCAAACATCAATTGTCAGTCTTAAAATTGTCATTCCTGCAACAGTATCCCTAATCATTTTTGGACACAATTTATGCTATTTTCAAAGTAGCAATGGGCAAATTGAGATGTATAAAAGTTGTATCTCTATCTCTTAGCTTTTTACAGGTCCAAGAATCGCATCATTGGGATTCCTATGGCGCAAGTTATGAGTAAAAACCAAAGTATGTGCAAGCAAATTTCTAGGCCCTTCAAACACCTTATTTTTCAAAATTAAGCCCCAACTTCCTTAAATCGTATAAAAACATAAAAACTAATAAATAATAATCAAATTAAACCAAAGAAATATAAAATTAAAATAACTCACTTAAAAATAAACCAATTATAAAACCAATTAAACAGAACTAAATTATAATTGAAATTTAAGGACTTAGCTAATATTTAATAACAAAATTAGAATAAAATAATTCTATAAAATAGAATTATCATGGCTATGTATGACAATTGGCATATATATACCTAAATTGCAAATCATATCACCTAAATGATATAAACATACACTTTTCAAAATATAGTCCAATCTAAAATCTCTTTGTCGAGTCTCAAGTAGATTCACAAATTCGTTAATTATTGGCCAAATAATCAAAAGCATTAAGAATAGATTTAAATAAACTACACCCATTCATGATAAATAAAAGAGAAACTAATATTCA